AGTAATATAAATCCCTTTTTATTTGTTTTATTAATTTTATCCCAAGGGAGACCGATAGTTGTCAGTGTCAAATGCCTTTTTTTTCGCTTCACTAGTATACCTGAAAGGACACGACGGGGTTGTTATAAATTTTAAACATTTCTTGCCATAGCTGTAAGAATGTAAATATATTAAACATAATAAATTGTCTGTCTGTCATTTGTTTTCGGACGGAAATTTCCAAAATTTACAACTTTTCGGTCTTTGGAAAAATTTCTCTCTGTATTACGTCTAATATTACCAAGAAATCGATCCCCACTGTTTACTCGGCTAAGGATTGGTTCAGTTAAGTCTTTGTTGTTTAAGTAAAATTCCTAACTCTTACAGAATGGTTTTATACATGTCCCTAATTCCCTAATCTCTTAATTATTTAACTACTTCTTATGTAGAAATAAGTTGAAACAGATCACTTTGTATTATACTTGATTATTTGTAGCCTTGAGAAAGAAGTGGAAAGAGAAACTTTTATAATGGTGCATAAATCGTAAATGCAACCTAAGAAATCGTGTGAGATTAGAACTTTTGCTGATAAAGAATAAACAACACTTTTTGCTTATTGGGCTGCAATTTGAAAAAATTATAGACCTATAAATTTCCACTGTCGTCCATCAGTCCGTCTGTTCTTCCTTAATCTCGAGAACGAAGTTAGATACATGAAAGTTAAATCATATATAGAAATCTTAGAGGTAGGAGGCTCCGATTAACTATATATGAACTTCCGGTTTGCACCGAAAATCACGTTATTTCAATTCAAAATTGTTTCCCTGAAAGGAGTTGTATGATGTACAGTCGTGCTTTTTTCCAAACGGAAAAGTGTGACGTACAGGGATGACACTACAGTACTAATTTGAAGTGTAGAGCATAAAAAATAGTTTATGTACACAAAGTATTACAGGTACCGTTACGTTCAGATATGTCAGACAGGAGAATAAAAGGTCTGGTGCATTTTATCGCAAGTGGAAGAATGAACATGATAAAGAAAACAGAAAACTACAAGGATCAATGCTGAAATTTGTAAAGTTGGATGAGACTGACCCAACAGAATCGACAGCCACTTCGGAATTCATTTCAGGCAATAATGACGAAATGGTAAGTGAAAAATCAAATGACAAGTTTGAAATTGTGTCAATAAACATCAGTGCCTTAATCGAGCTTTTGCGAGAATTTAGATAATAATAATTGTGTTAAATTGACGGGCGAATGTGATGTAGATATATGTGATACTTTTAACTGGACACCAATTATTAATAATCGGTTATTAGATTGGTTAACAAAATCGTGTTGTATTCTCCCCGCTTTAGGAGCGAGCGAATATGATATGACATTCCTTTTCCTGACACGTGTAATTGCTTTTAAATCATAAGCATGTTTTTCTTAATAATTATATTTTCAGATCTTTTTTACCTGAAAGTGCCAAATGATTGCTCACATTCACTCAAGCGTTTATCTACAACCACGTCTGAATACATTCGAATTAGACTTTGAAACGTAAAATGCTACCTGACAAGTTTTGCAGGGAAAATACCAATTTCCTCCAAATCTTCCGGAAGATCTACTTCTCCTCCTCCTCCTCCTCCTCCTAATTTATAAATATTTTTTATGCCTGTATAATCAATTTTATATTAAAAATGATAGGCTATTATTATTCCTCGGAGTCGGATTTTATCAGTTTTTCAATCTTTTAAAAAAGAGATATTTTAAAAGAGGATGAAAAGTAATGTGCTACAATAACGTTTTCGTTTAACACAGCTCATGCACTGATATTGCAAGAAAATTGGCTAATTCGTAAGTTAATTGTCTAGCTGTGAAAATAACAATATATTATTAAACGCAGTAGATAATTTTATTTTAATTTTTCCCAATTCATTTATTTTATTAAAATAATTATAACCACGTGGTTTTTTTTACTTTACCCATCCCACACCTTTGTGGTCTTTTATAGTCTTTTCTTATTATCCTTCCTCCCCTAAACTTGGACACGTGGTTCATAGACGAACCTTGAAAAGACTTGCACTCGACTATTTTAATTTACTGCTTTGTATTGTATTTCTAATCCTGGCTTATAAATTTATAAATAAAAGAATATTTTTACACATGACTTTTCTCCGATATTTGATCGTTTTTTGAACATCATACTTTTCGAGATGGGAGCTTTTTCTGGGATATTTTCGACAAAATTACTTAATCATCCAAAGGAAAAGATAAAAATGATAGGCTATTATTATTCCTCGGAGTCGGATTTTATCAGTTTTTCAATCTTTTAAAAAAGAGATATTTTAAAAGAGGATGAAAAGTAGTGTGCTACATCGTACTTTTCGAAATGGGAGCTTTTTCTGGGATATTTTCGACAAAATTACTTAATCATCCAAAGGAAAAGATAAAAATGACGATTAAAAGTAAAATTTACAGTTTATAGTTATAAAATTTATTAAAAAAATAAAGAAAACAAGAAAAAATCTTTTAAAAAAATCGTGATTTTTTTAAAGTTTTTAAAGATTCTAGATTTTAACTAAATTTGAATTTTTCTTCGAAGGTTGATTGGTTTAAATTTGTCGAGTTTTTAATTTAATTTATGTTAATTAATAAAGGTTAATAAAAACAATTTTTTTATCGTTTTATGAATGATTTTTTTTATAAATTGGTTTTAAAAAATTAAAGGTTCGAAACTTCAAAACTTGAATCATCCATATTCTTATTTCTAATATCAAATAATTTTATAATATAATAAATATATAGGGTTTGAAATGTAATATTAGAAAAATAGAATATTATAGTAAAGAATAATACTGATTTAATATATTGTATTAAGAATTTTGGAATTGATTTAGCTTATTTTTCAGATACAACTTGTTACTTTCAAAGTCATTTCTATTAATCAGCGATCGCCTTGTAATTTTCTGTATTATGCCTGATCTTCCAATCCTCTCTCACCGCCTCACCCATCCAACCTCTCCAAGTCGGGGTCATTTCCTCTTGCAGCCTCCATACGTCCATGTATTTGTGGCTAATGATTTCGAAAATTGCAGCGAAATTTACGTATTTATCAATATGATATGATAAAACAGTGTCTCCGAAATTCTAATATAATTATTTTCTGCAGCTTGCTTTGTTCTTTACCTTAGGCATATCGCCACATTGTGTGGAGATGATGGTGTTTCTGGTTCTTTGCGAATCAGATAGACAATATTCCTTTCGCTGTGATGATTTCAGTGACGTGATTCTATAAACTGGATATTCTAAATGGTTTAATAAAGAAATAAAATAATATATTTCTAGATTTTTAAAACTTTATATAAATAACTAAACTAATGGGTAATTAACTAGCGACTTGTTTAAAGGATACATTTAGAGTTCGGTAAGAAATAGCTTATTTATGTAAACAGTACATCATTATTCATAACTTTAATTATTTATAAAGAAAACTAAGACACTAATCGTTTATGATATATTTTTCCCTCTAATTGAAAAATGAATTGAAAGCCATCAAAATATCAAATTATATCTATATATAATAACATGATCCTTTTGAATATCAAAACAAAACTTGTCATTTAAAACCTTTTAAATGATTTAACGATAAATGTCACAATGCCGTTTGCTGGTATAGTACGAGTATTTAAGCTTTTTTTTAATACGATTTAAACAAACTAAACAAATAATATTATCAAGTAGCACGCAAATATGTATAATTCTTCAAGAACAAATTATATTTTTAACAGATAATGTATTTTTACTATTCAAGTCTACTCACACTTTCCTCTTTCCCTACCACATTGCTGTTGACTACCTGAGAATAAGGCTAAACAAAACAGTCAATGCGAAAATATTTCGCAATGGTTGTCGACTGGACCCATTCCAGGATGCTGCTATGATGATAATGGCTGATAGAAGGGTGTCATTAAATTTCCGTTCACTTTTTATTAAATAAATCAATTAAAATTTAAAAACAATTATAGTCATTGCATTAATATTCAATTAAATCTTTTCTTTTTTTAAATTTGTATAAATTATTTTCAGAATTTTCGTCATTTTTAGAAATATTTTTAATCTTATCGCGTCATCCTAACACGAAAATTGCCATATAATACAATTATGAAAAAAACCAGGAAAGGCTAATTAACAGTCAGAGTTTATTCTTCAAAATAATAATTTTTTCCACCACAATATTTCTTTTCTTCTTTCGTTTTTAATAATATTCCATTTAAACGCTAGGAATTCATTTACTGGTGTCAAACTCAAATTTTTTCATGCATTCACTCACATTTTTAAATAAAAAAAATCATGACATTCTTAAGTTTTTCATTTGAATTTTTTGTAAAAATTCTTTTATAAAGTCTTGCAAAAAAAAAAATTATGCATTGCATTCTCACGCCCTAAAAAATCGTCTTAAGTTTCCTTCAACAAATATCTGAGAAAAAAGCCTGAAAATGCATATTGAATGTAAAATGTTTTTGGATAATTTGAATCAACTAGTTGTAGACAACCATTATTAATTAAATATTTTTAATTTTGATAAATACTTTAACGAACATTGAAAATATCTTAAAAGAATACAAGAGAAATAATTCCTATTTTCAAATCAGGAAAATTTCATTTCATTATTATTTCAAAACTATTTTTCAATAGATTTCCTAATGTAAGAATTATGACTAATATTTCATTAAATTATTATAATTTTATCCACAAATAATTTAAGAGTTAAAGCCATCTTTTATAAGTAAAAGTCTATAAAAAATTTGATGGCTGTTGCAGACTAATTTTTAACATAATCCCACTTTATTATTAATTTTCTACAAAAACAATGTAGAATTTTTTCACAAAATTCTACAATGTGTTACATGTTTGCTTAATAAATATATTACTTATAAAAACAATAAAAGCTAACATGATATTTTTGCACTTTGATCAGCTCTTAAGTAAAGAATCAGTTGTTATAAAAATTCATATAGAGGACAGTAAACAATTAACACATTTATTCTTATTATTAGTTTGTACTGTACATAAAATGTATTTAAGCCATATTTATAAATCTAGATACATTTTTATTCAAAAATAAATATGACAGACAAAAACACATACTTCTTCAAAAGAAGTTTTCCAAATATAAATTTTTGTTTTAGTTATTAATCATCTGAATCAAATGAGTCCAATTCTGGTATTTGAGATAAAAATGGTGGGGGAGCTTTAATTTTATATGAATTATTTCGAATTTTTTTCGGTGGTGATTCAGGAATTTCTTCATTAAATGGAAAAATTTCCTAAGAAAAATAGAAAAATAAATTTAGAAATAAAAAAAAGATATAATATACATATTCAATCATTTTTTATTTGTTAATTATCACTGAAGTGCTTTTAAACATAAAAGCATTTCAATTCAGTTTATCAAAATAAATTTTAATTTAAATTCTAGCAGGTATTTACATTTTACAATTAAAAAATTATACTGAGTAAACATTTCCTTTAAATATTTTGAAATTACATTTTTAATATTTACCACAAACTATAAGTTAAATTTCAAAAAATATAATAAAAATGGATCTTTGGGAAACACTTGGACAAAAAAAAAATGGAGTGAATACACAATATGATAGACGTAGGTTGCTCGGTAGTGTTTGTAAAAAGAGCCAAATCTAAATAACTAAAGCCATTAAAAAATTTAAAAAGTAAGCAATCAAAATATTTGATACACTCAAAAAATGAAGGAAAACCCAATCTAGCAATGCTAGGATTTTGAGTGTTAGGTAGAGGATTTGATCCCGGGATCTCGAAAATCGGGATCCCAACAACTTTTCAGTCCCAAAATTTTCGGGATTAAGTTTTCCTAATCCCGAGATTTTCGGGATTGACATCATTTTAAAAAAAGTTGCAAAATAGACTGCATTAGTGCCAGTGCTTTTAACAGAATTGCTTGCCTGTCATTTTAATATAAAATACAAGAAATTTTATTCCAAGCAAGCAGCAAAAATTAACCTAGCGAGCTTGCGATGCTTGCTTGGAATAAAACTTCTTGTATTTTCAACTAAAATGATAGGCAAGCAGTTTTCACTGGGTTACTTGGTAATATACTTCATTTTTGTATTTTTGAATTTTCGCGGGCGCTAATCGATTTTCTGGTGCAGTCGAGAGCACTACTCAGTGCGTTTTACCTGTCAATGTGTCAGTCATCTTGTTTTGCCAGTGTAGTTAATATAGACCCAATGCCTCTTGCTTAGGGGGGTCGACCTTAGGTGAAAAGGTTACGACTCTCGCCTTGCCCGCGATCTGTCAGGATGATGCGAGAAAGTCTTTTTACGTTTCGGGGTAGTGGTTTGCTGGACGCTGAGAGACTCACACAGAGACCGAATTTACAAAATTAACGCGTTTATTTTTAGAAAGACATGCTTACAATGATCGAAACAATCGGGATTGTAGCCTTTACTCCTACAATCCCGATCCGTGTCGACCGGACTGTTTTCTTCCATCCTCCCCGTGTCCTCGAAGCTTATAAGTATTTACTAACGATTCCTCCAACTTCCATCAAACCTAAACGCGTTTTCTCAGCAGCTGCATATATGTGCAACAAATTGAGAAGCAGACTTGGTGATGAGACACTGGATGCGTTGTTATTTCTCAGATCATATTTTCGCAATTCAAATTAGAATGTTCCTATTAGATTAGTTTTCTTTATATTTAAGAAAAATGTGACTGATTAATATTATTTTTAAATACTTTTTGCTAAGAAACTTACTTTACTACCTACTTACTAGGTTGTTATATGAAAGTAGTCTATTTAGTCGATGTTAAGAGAGATTTTTGTTAATTTTCAACGTTTATTTGCATAGTTTGTTACATAAAGGTTTTTTCAATTTATGTGAGTTTAAAGAGATCTCAGTGATGCTTAAAAAAGAATAAATTTAACATGAAACAGTGATTTTAAGTCTGGTTAGTCTGACTCTAAGTCTGATTAGTTAGAGTGATTAAATTAACTAGGTGTATACCGTAAAATACGTTGATTTTTGTCTAAATTTTGATTTTTGATTTCTGTAAGATTTTCTTATTTTTTATTAACCCTCAATACCGAAATAATCCCGGGATCGAATAAGTATAATCCCGAAATCCCAGGATTAGAAATAAGGACCGGGATCGAATTCCCTAGTGTTAGGTAAGTTGCATAATTTATTAAAAGATGAATACATTTTTATCAAGAATTCTAACAATCTTCTCCAAAAGGGAAGGCAATACCATTGTCCAAATGAGTAATCCATAATTAATGCAAGACTGAAAATTAGTAAAAAGAATAGTTTTTAATACAATTTTAGATAAGACAACTTTACAAAAATTTCATATATTCCACATCTGATAGCCAGAGATTTAACTATATTATAATATGATTTTTAAAAGTACCTTATTATCAAAGATTATTCACAAATCATTATGGTGTAAAATAATTAATAAAAGCAGAATCAATATAAATAGTAGTAAGGAAGGATTGTGAATTAAAACAAAACACATAGCCACAGTTTTTTGTTCATTAATCCTGAGGGTCAGCAGATTCAAACAGATTTTTCAATCCAAAGATCCACAATCAATTTATATCATCAGCATATGTTACATGGGATTTAAGATGGCAAAGAAGGGTGTTAATATATGAGCTGCTCACTTGCCAAATTGATTAACTCCAAAAAACAAAAAGTATGAAAATTGAGAATATAAATTATTTTTTAAAATTCTTTTAAACTTTAAATTTAAAAAAAACATTCTAGAATGTATTTTTATATACTGTTATATTAAAGCATAGCTTTAATGTAATGATATATAAAATTAATTATGCAAAAAATGTAAGAATAATAATGATTATATTAAGGATTTACAAATGGAGTTTTGGCCTGTGAACAGCTCATATAATGATCAAAAAGGCCACTGAGAATAGATTCTTGTTGATCACTGCATAAAGGAATAAAATCAAGAAAATTCATGATAACTTATTTTTATTTTGTATATTCATAACAAAAAGCCGTGAATGGATTGCTGGGTTGAGATTAGGATTTCTCAAACAGGATCTCGGTATCCTGGCTGTTTTTTTTTTAACCAAGAAAATTCTTCTCATCCAGGAAATCCCACAAATTTCATAAAAGTTCACTTTTTTTTTATTTTGTGTTAAGGTTGAGGAAATTTTGCAAATAGAAAGTATAATTAACTCCTAAACTTTCAGAATACATTTGTATTTATTAATTTTAAGCCCACTTATTAGTTTTTTAAATTTTTGCTTGTTATGACATCTACAGATTATCAATAATCAATATGTATTTGTGGCAAGACTCTGAAAATTCTTTACTTCTCAGAACCCTGTAATATCTTGAATAATTGCGCTGATGCTGTCTTAACCATGCTCAGTAGTTTCAATAACTGCATTATGCCAGATTGTGCAAATTGGACAAGGATACAAACGAGTACAAAGTACGCAAGTATGAAGTTTTTCTTCATAAACCTGATTATTAAAGCCAAACCAACTGCCAAATTATTGGGCTATAAGCTTGATACTGCTATTAAAGCAGCTGAGGTAGACAAATCAAGAATACTTGAGAGCAAAAGAAGTATTGCAACGCATTACGAAAACAAACTAGAAATCTTCCAGGCTATGTGTGAAAAAACACATAACATTTGTCTTCTCTTAAATGTATTAAAAAAATTTCATCACATTCATTGAATTGGAAAGGGCATTCTCAGTAGCAGGACTTTTCATTATTAAAATAATAACCAGATTGCGTGATCGGAGTATTCAACATCTTTGGTTTTCAAAATCTTATAAAAATTTACAATAATATTTTGTATTATGTTTTATGTAAACAACAAAAATTACTTTCTAAGTTAAAAGTTTGATCTAAGTTCATTTTTTCTTAAAATTTTNTAATTTCTGTAAGATTTTCTTATTTTTTATTAACCCTCAATACCGAAATAATCCCGGGATCGAATAAGTATAATCCCGAAATCCCAGGATTAGAAATAAGGACCGGGATCGAATTCCCTAGTGTTAGGTAAGTTGCATAATTTATTAAAAGATGAATACATTTTTATCAAGAATTCTAACAATCTTCTCCAAAAGGGAAGGCAATACCATTGTCCAAATGAGTAATCCATAATTAATGCAAGACTGAAAATTAGTAAAAAGAATAGTTTTTAATACAATTTTAGATAAGACAACTTTACAAAAATTTCATATATTCCACATCTGATAGCCAGAGATTTAACTATATTATAATATGATTTTTAAAAGTACCTTATTATCAAAGATTATTCACAAATCATTATGGTGTAAAATAATTAATAAAAGCAGAATCAATATAAATAGTAGTAAGGAAGGATTGTGAATTAAAACAAAACACATAGCCACAGTTTTTTGTTCATTAATCCTGAGGGTCAGCAGATTCAAACAGATTTTTCAATCCAAAGATCCACAATCAATTTATATCATCAGCATATGTTACATGGGATTTAAGATGGCAAAGAAGGGTGTTAATATATGAGCTGCTCACTTGCCAAATTGATTAACTCCAAAAAACAAAAAGTATGAAAATTGAGAATATAAATTATTTTTTAAAATTCTTTTAAACTTTAAATTTAAAAAAAACATTCTAGAATGTATTTTTATATACTGTTATATTAAAGCATAGCTTTAATGTAATGATATATAAAATTAATTATGCAAAAAATGTAAGAATAATAATGATTATATTAAGGATTTACAAATGGAGTTTTGGCCTGTGAACAGCTCATATAATGATCAAAAAGGCCACTGAGAATAGATTCTTGTTGAACACTGCATAAAGGAATAAAATCAAGAAAATTCATGATAACTTATTTTTATTTTGTATATTCATAACAAAAAGCCGTGAATGGATTGCTGGGTTGAGATTAGGATTTCTCAAACAGGATCTCGGTATCCTGGCTGTTTTTTTTTTTAACCAAGAAAATTCTTCTCATCCAGGAAATCCCACAAATTTCATAAAAGTTCACTTTTTTTTTATTTTGTGTTAAGGTTGAGGAAATTTTGCAAATAGAAAGTATAATTAACTCCTAAACTTTCAGAATACATTTGTATTTATTAATTTTAAGCCCACTTATTAGTTTTTTAAATTTTTGCTTGTTATGACATCTACAGATTATCAATAATCAATATGTATTTGTGGCAAGACTCTGAAAATTCTTTACTTCTCAGAACCCTGTAATATCTTGAATAATTGCGCTGATGCTGTCTTAACCATGCTCAGTAGTTTCAATA